GGCTGACGCATTATGGTGGCTTACAATTTTGTCTGACCGCCTGGCCCCTGGACTCTGTCCGATACCTAGGTTTTATACTCCTCCTCCTCGTGCTAAGCAAGAAGACGCGCGGAACTGAGGTGAGATATCTAGATGGCCCTGCGTTGGTGGTCATCAACGTGCGACGCGAGGCAGAGGCCAAACAACTCCTTCCTGCACATGAGCTATAGTACAGCATCACCAAGAATCAAAACAACGTGAACATGTTTGATTTGAACTGCAAAAAGCGTCACAGCTATTGAATTGCTGGAGACCTGACAGGCGCGGGACGGCAATTCAACCTCTCTGCCAGAAATGCACCGTCTCTTAAACGCAGGTTAGGATTCCTCTTCTTCTGTCTCGCCCGCCATCTCCGCTAAGATAAGACCAATATCCTCCTTGCCAACTCAGTCTTCTGGGTCCAGCAGACCGACCGCTATTACTGCTGCCTGGAGCAGCTCTTGCTGCTTCTTGCATTTCTCGATGGCGGTTTTTGCGGCCTTGACCTTCTCAGCTGTGCTGCACACCTTCCTCAGCTCCATCTCGCACTTCTTCGCACGTTCCACAGCAGTATTGACGTCTCTCGTGGCGTCCTCGACGCTCTCTTGTATCCCGAAAATCGGAGGCGCCCTACAAAGGGCGGCTGTGGCCTCGTGTATGGTGATATCCTCCGCGCCGGAGTCTTGGTCGTCAATGTCTCCGGTCAGCGAGGCCACCTTGGATGCCCACCGTTTTTTCAGCTTGCAGCGTGATACATCTTTCAACGCCGCTGACACCGCGTGTGTCAATTGGGTTTGACTTCTGCCGAGTCTGCTCTGTCGGTCCTCGAGCTGGGGGATAAGACCAGTAGCTTGGGTATGCCCGTCTTCAGCTGCCACCCTAGAACCCCAGTGTCCAAGGAAGCGCCGTTTGAATTCTCCTGCAGGGTCGGGCGGGCGAGCCAGGCGCTTCTGGAAAACGTCTCCTTTTTCCGTCTTTCGAAGAGATTGGGAACTGTCTCTCGTTGTAGGCTGATAAGGTCAGGAGTGCTGCATCGTCGTTTTCCTTCATCCTCTGATTTGCTGCCTTCAAGCACAATAATCCGCTGGTCACGCGGGAATCTCCTGCAGCGATGAGTGTCTGGAATTCATTAGCCTCTTGCCCCCTTCGATATATCAAGATGCTTCAGAGGGGACACGAACCGTAGTAAAGGACTTCTCGCAAGTGGGGATGAAGTCGGCGACGGCTTTTCCTAGAAAGCTTTTGACCGTGTCCACACGTAGTCGGTCGGGCAGTCAACCGAAATGCTGGGCACTGATCAGTTTTCGGGTGCTAGACGAATAGTTGACGACATGCAGGTAGGCCCACTGGCTATTCGCATGAACTTGCCGAAAGAAGATCGGGTTCGAAATCAACTTCAGATGCAAGAACAAGTTCTTTCAATTTCATTTCCCAGCTTGGAGCGGGTCCGCCTCCGGCTAAGGTTGCAGGAGGTATGTCCTCATCGGTATCGTCGAACATTGGCCAGTTTCCACCTAAGTCGTAGTCTTGTTCCTCATGGTCGCTGGGTTCGGAATCCGGGAAGTCGTCTTCTCGGCCGTGATTGTTAAGTTGAAAGGTATTATCGTTGAAAAGATCTAAATAAGAAACAACCGGAGTTTGTTTCAGCTCTGGACCTTGCAGAGGTGGCTCTTCTGGTGTTCTGGTGTTCTGGCGTTCTGGCGGTGGAACCTTTTCTGGCTCTTTCTGGTGTGTCGATTTGAGAGTCAGGGTCAGAAGTGGTTGACGTTAGGCGGGGGGGTCGTTGAGGCCTCTCTTTGGTGGTTGTCAGTCTCTGTAAGAAAGGTCTTTTGCATCTGGCGTAGGTCTGAGATGCGCAGCCTAGGTACCCCTTTCGAGTCAGGGCGGACCGCCTTCTCAAGGAGGCCGCTAGCCTGCCGCAGGGATTGGAGTGGTACTTCCCTTGAGACTGCGGCTTCCGTGATGTGGCGTAAACAACTAACGAAGGTCTGTCTCGGCGTAGTGGAGCCTGGAAAAACGAAGTCTGGTAACCACGATCGACGACCACCCTATTGGCCGTCGAGGTAATCGACTTGCGTCTGGTGCCACTTTGAATCAGGGTTGGAGATCTGCTTCAAACGACGGCCTCTGGCTTGTCTCTTGATGTCGTGTAGTGCCTCGTCGTCGAGCAGCTCTTCTGCTATCTTTCCAGCTGCCTCGGAGGTAGGCGCGTTGCCGATGATGCCAAGACAAACGTTTGCGCGGTCGGGGGTTCGGAGCCCTGGACAGCGTGGTGTACGAGACAACGGAGCTTCTTTGGAGATGTCACAACGGCCTCACTCACGAAATGTTGCACCTGCAACAGTTGATGGTTATTTAGCGAGCGAAATCGCTTGGGAGGGGGTGGGGTCATGCTGACTGCTTGGAAATGGGCTGTGGCCGTTTGCTGGCCGTCTTCTGTTGTTTGAGGTGCGGTAGAGGGGCGTGGGCGTAACTCGCGCGGCATGATAGCCGTTGTGGGCGACGAGGTAATAGGATTGAAAAAGGGGTCCAGGATGATCGAATGCCATGTAGGCCGTGCCATCATAGACGTGATGTGATGGACATAACGTGATGCAACCAGTCGATTGACGGACGGACGGGGGTGTCGTGGCATGCGCATGCGGGCCGGGTGAGGCGCAGATGGTCGAGTTCGTGAATTTGCCTCTGCTGCGAGAGCGGGCAGGCAAGGTGCATCGTTCATAAATGAAGCATCTCAGCTGTGAGGGTCTGCCCAGGTGTGGTCGTGATGTGAATGAAGTCTCAGGCAGGTAAGTAGGTGTGGTGCCTTCCATTGCCTTACTTTCCCTGTTCACCTGAGGTGTTGTCATGGAAGTGATTGGGGCGTGAGGGTCCGTACCATCTTCTCAGGATGGTGCGGCTCTCTGATTGACCGCAGCGCCACAGGCAGGTCAGCCATGCCGCGCAGCATCATGTGTTCGTGGTCATGGCACCGGGCGGTCTACAACGCTTCCCCGGAGAAGGGTGTCGTGTTCGAAATTGAGGCAATGCAGAGTCGAGGGCGGTAAGAGCATTGGGCATTGGATGTTGCACCATCTGGCAGAGCGAGCAGTTGAAAATGCGTGCGGGTGTCGGGGAACAGCAAGTTGGAAGAATGGAATCGTTCCATCGAACGTGGCGGCAATAAGATGGTCGGCCAGATGGATCCATGTCTCCGGCTCGGCCCGTCCCGCCCCCTGTTCGTCCCATATGACAACGGGAGAACTTTAATGGCCCACCGACTGCCGGTTTCCGCAGGTGCCTCCGCAGGTACCAACTGTCGATTTCTTCAGCGACCAACTGCTGATCTTTCCAGACCGTCCCCACACGTCACGTCGTCGTCTGCCTGCCTCATTCTCCTCCGCCCACCGTCGACTCCTTCCTTTGGTAAGGCGCATCCCTTGGCGCATGTCCCTCTTCAGTCTCACCACGTCATCTCCACCACATCCTGTCAAGTTGTTCACAGGGTTGTCGACCGTTCGGTGGCGTTCCTTCCGTTGTTCGGTGTCGTTTCTTCGGCGTGCCTGCAGTGGACAACTTGCGCCAAGACCACAAAAGCCAGTCTTCTGGTAAGCTACTTCAACATCTCCTAACGAGCAACATGGATGCATGACGACCAATGCCAGCAAAGCCTGCCCTACCCGGACCTACGAGGACTCCAGCACGGACGAGGATGACCAGCTCGAGCTTGCTGGTGTTGTGCCAATGTCGACTAGACCTTCGCTACCGAAGCGACCAACTCCTGCTCGTCCGAACTCAACGAGCCTGAAGACGAGAACGACCTGAACGAGGGAAACGACCCCATTATTTCCCCTCTGGCGACTCAGAAGGTACTGAGCTTGTTGCGTGAACCGGCCAAACGACAAAAGACTGGGCTCCGCGGCAGCTCCGCGGCAGCTCCGTACCAATTCTACATACCCTAGTGTCGAGGGGGCTTCTGCTCGAGGCTGTCTTGGTGCACCCTTGGGCTACACCGAGACCCCTCCGTGCTCTTCAAGACGGCGGTGTTTGTCCATGTTCGTTTTGATAAGTGCGCTAAGAAAGGTGTCTGCTTGGGATATTCACGGGCACAAGTGGTGGACTCCGCCCAGGCTAAGTAGCACCTTCCGAGATAACCTTGAAGGATATCATCCCTCCATGTCCCTTGCGTCATACTCCACTGCGATTTGGTACAGTTTCACCAAACAATTCAGCTTCATCCCTGAGGTTAGTGGCTAAATCTTGTAGTCATCCTCTTGGGCATCCTCTACTTTGTGCTCTCTTAATTGATGCTCTTGTGGAGGTGATGTGGCACGTGTTCTTGCTGTGAAGTTTCTGTGTTAGCGGGATGGTCTGTTCATGACATGCCCGCGGGCTGGCGAATAGTTGTGGAGCTGCCTTGACGGTCAGGTGGGAAATTAAACGGTGCGCCAGTTAGTATATGCCACATTCAACCAGAAACCAGGGATGCAAATGAGATGAGTGATGTTCTCTCTGGACACTTGGTGGGGAGAGTTGTCTTCTCGAACAAGCTCGATGACACTGTCTGGATCCACCCCACCTCTGCGGCCGCGGGGATCATGGCATTTCTGGTATTTCTAACCATTTGGTGTCGACTCTGCTTAACCCCTGCGAGCGGAGTCGTTCTCCTAACTGTTGAAAAGAGACCCATGTTTATTCAAGATACTCTGTTCAGCCCTTCCTCAGGCCTTCGTGATGCCAAGGCTTTGTTATTGACTAATTTGGCGATTGTGGTGTGTGTAATGGGATGGACATCTGTACGAAAGACGTCAGGGGGGAACTGGGGAGTAGCCACTCGCAGGCAGCCAGGCCGGAATTGCGGGCCAGCAAGCCTTGCAGAGGACTCCTCCATGTTCCTAATCGGCCACTTCACTTGCGTGGTGCTCAGCTGCATCGCATCGCATTACGCTCTTAGAAGGGCCGGTCGGTCAATCAAGAGGAGACTCGAAGTCGAAATCCAACACATGCGGCCATACCCATTGGAAAACTCGGGATCCCGTCCGCTCTCCCAGCGATAAGCCACTGAGGGCCGGAGTAGTAGTCGGGTCGGTGACGACCGGCGAATGCCCGGTGCTGCATGTATAGGTGCACCCATCTCCTATTTTTGGAGGTTAAGGGACCGTAGGATTGAGGAGTCGCTCCATTTGCGACCAGAAGGTAGTAGGTATGTACCCCCCCCAAAAGTCCCCACGGTCGTGGGACCTTTTTCCCTAGGTGGCACAGGGACGCTACATGTACGTACTGATTACGTCAGATGCCCCCAGGGACATCTCCTTTGGGGTCAGGCACCAACTGACGATTTGATCGCTGGAATCGGCAGTTGGTCACTGTAAGAAAACCAGCACCCTTCCTCAACGACAGTCCTGGTGTGTTGGACAAGACCGTTACGTCCCTTTTCGCTCCCTTCAATCCCATTCTCCCCCCCACCCCTTCTTCGCCGAGTTCGCGGCTGAAACCGCTACATTGCGGCCGGTGGTCGGCCTGGCAGCGCTGCCGGGCCAATTGGGTACCCCTCCATCTGTGAGTGTTCGCGACCCTGGTCCAAAGGACGAAGCTCTCCTCGGCAGTTTGATAACTATCATGTAACGGCAGAACGATTCCCCGATTTCCCCACTACCGCTGAAGCAACAAAGACACCTTTGATCAAGAATGGGCATTTCGTGTCACCGCCGCCAGTGCAGCTCCGTCGGTGCAATTCCCCCTCGAGTGCATAATACCTACACGGCTTATATCTACTGGGCAGCGCCCGCGACAGCCCGAGTTCTCAGCCAATCTTGCTCCAAGCTCTGCATCAAGCACATGGCCAACAAGTCTTATTCAGAGTCGCGAGTTTCCCTGCGTCTTCTGGCCATAGATCTAGCTCTGCCCGACAAACGCCCTTCCACGATGCTTCCCCTTTCCACACGCGAGCAGTTACAGCCTCGATAGCTTCCAAGCCCTGCTGCTGCCAAAATGTCTGGGCCCCAAAGCCCCAAGACACTCGAGAGAGAACGGGCATCGACTCTGCATGGAATCCTGCCTTTGGCCCAACCTACAACTCACGCACTAACAGCTTCTACTTTAACGTCAATGTCGTCCCCAGCTCCTCTCCCGCCACAGACCCTAGGGCACGAAAGATGACATAGACAAAGTGCATCCCCGAAGCATACATTCAGCTGTGAACCGGCTTAACCTTCGAACCGCAACACCCCAGGCCGACCCGCATGTGGCAGCTCGACGTGGGCTTCAAGTTGTCCGCGCCGACCAGCTAGCCGGCTGTGCTCAACACACAACAAGCCCGGGGACCAGGGGACACGCCATCGCAGTTGCCAATGGCAGCGTCCAGAACTTCAATACCGCCGCCGCCCGCAAGCACAGCCGGCCTCGACAATGCGACGTTGATCGACAAGGGGCCAGTCAAGTAGGTGCCCAAGCAGTACTCGAGACGATCTGGGTGCCCTCAACCAAGCCCGCCAGCCCGCGCCGCAGGTAAGTGTATCCATTTCCCGTACTTCTCCGTCTCCCATCGTCCCAGCCAATCCCAGCACCAACCATGCTTGGAACTCGACCAGTTGTCTTGTCTTCGCAGGCTCGCTAGTAACCTCGCTGACCAAGTCGATAGCAGCGCATGGACCATGGCACTGGAACCCGAGCAAGGAGCCGAAGCTGCCTGGTCAATGGAGCGAAGGGGCAAGACAGAAGACTTCGTTGATACAACCAACCATGGACAGTGGTTGCAATGAAGATCGTGACGAAGCATACAAGAGCGGTAACCCCAAAAGCTCTATTCCGAGAAGAGCAATACCGGCAAAATCCATGCATCCAACAACCAAGACGAGTCCCGCTTAAGACCCTTCAAAACCTTGCTGCGATTCAAGACGGTCATCCGCCAAGTGGGATTCCGGTGAGGGCGCTGCCTCCATTCGCGGAGGGGCGGTAGAGTGGAGGCCAGGCCTTGTCTGTTCCACGACCATCCGTTCTGTTCTAGAGACAAGAGAAGAGAAGAGGCCGACGCATCTGCCTCTGTCTATCTTTTCCCTCGTCCTTGACACAGCACTCACCCACAAGCCATAACGTCAACTCTTTACATTTATTACTATCTCCAACTGTCGCCCGCCCTCTGAATGCCTCAACGTTCCTACATCTCCCGTACACCGCCAGCTTCTGCCATTCAGACAAACGAGCTACACTATTCCTTAATTGGGTATCCCGTACAATAACCGACGTCATCACGCAGAGAGTGACGGGCAGTGTCAGATCTGGCGCCAAGTCCAGGTTCGAATGGTGAGAGAGTTAATCATACCTAGAACGGATTGTCGATAGGTAAGTCAAGCCATTACCTTGGTCTAATATTTTTCGTTCTGTACTCCTTCATCTTGCTGTGAAGCTGGAAGCAAATCGTTCCCAGGCTCGCTTAGCGGCCCCCACTCCATCCAGCATTTTGCCGCTGATCAGGAAGACACACCTGCTGTTGTCTTAAAACTATCACACCACAATGGCAGCCATCATTTCAGTTGACACTGATAGTGCCACGACTTTCTTTTCGCATGCTCCAAGCTCGCTGGCACCACATACGCCCTACTGCTCGCCAGACTTATCCCGACCTCTCATTCACCGCCGTCGCCGCCGCTGCCTTTGCCACGTCTCCAGCCCAAACCCACGCCATTTTATCTAGTGTCTGGTTATACATTCTCAGTCCACAGCGACGAGTTTCTGCGAAGACGATGTCATATACTCGGTCTCGAATCTACCGTCAACGGACCCAGTTCAATGCACGCAGTCGTCCTGGTTCCCAAGAAGCAAGACCCCAAGGCCAAGGTTTTCATTGCCCAGGACCTAAACACTGACAAAGTTGGAAACGAGACGAAGCGCACTGCTGTGTCACTAGAGCTCCAGCTGCTGAGCTCCACGCCGCCGACCGCTGAAGAGACTACGCGTATGATCGCAAAGGCCAAGCAGATGGTCGAGGCTACGCCGTCACGTCAGTCCTTGAAGCGAGGTAGCTAGATCATATCTGCCCTGGGAATGCAACAGGGGATGCTGACTAGATTCAACTGTGCAACGCAGCGCAAAATTTTGAGATGACCTTGTGAGTGTTGGAAGCCTATTTGGCCTATTAGTACTAATCGTTAGCATTGAGTCACCCAATCATATGGCTCCCGTCAAATGTTCCTGTTCGGGAACTGAGGTCGAGACAGCTATCCTAACAATAACATTGAGATCCTCTGCTGCTTTCATCGGGCATGTTCATAACATATTCTCAGATACGTCATCTGATTTGCCTATCCTTTTGGCATTTACTGATCGCCTTTAAAGTCGCACGACTAGTTTTCTTAGATCGCAGTGGATGCCATTTTGTCGGTGGCCGACCCCGAGTGGAGAGACGTTGACTTTGAGTTGATCAAGGTTGACAGCAATGTCGAAGGAGCTTTTGAGGATACTTTGCTCAACATGGGTGTCATTATCGACAAGAGACTCCTCGCATCCCCAGATGCCACCGGAGGCCACGGACGCCAAGATTGCCATCCTGACCTGTGCCTTTGAGTCCCTAAAGCCCAAGACCAACCACAAGGTCGAAATCGCCAGCGTTGAGGAGTTCAAGACGTTGTAGAACTACCAGTACCAACCAAGCACCCTAGCGATGGAAGTGTCCTGCGTGGCTGGATAGGGGGTTCAAGGCCTAGGTCCATCACCCTTGATAGAGGTGTAAAGCGTCCTTCGGCGACTATAGTGTCTTTTACTGCCCGTGCATAGCCCTTACAGCGGGTGAGGAAATCGGCTTCAAAATTCTAAAAGCTGGCGTTCAGATAGCAAAGTGCTCTTCTCCCACCAGGACATTTCGCATTCCCAGATGCCATCAGAGGTCAAGTCAATGACGCGAAGCTCGCCATCCTAACCTCTGCCTCCAAGCCCCCCTCCCCCCCCGGCGGAGCTTTTCACGTCTCCGGATGCCGTCAGAGGTCAAGGACGCCGCCAAGATCGCCACCCTGACCTGTGCCTCTGAGCTCACCCCGCACCCAGCCCAAGACCAAGCAAAAACTCGACATCATCGGCGTCCAGGAGTTCAAGAGGTTGCTGAACTACGAGCGTATGGAGTTGATTGGAATGATCCAGCAGACCAAGGACTCTGGCTTTAACCTGGCTCATGCCCCTCGGAGGCGGTCAAGCAAACGGGAAGAAGTCATGAATGCCTACAGCCACACTTATAGAAGCAAGCATCAGTACCTCCAAACTTCGACCCGCAACTGGTGCAGCAGTGGTTGGTCTACAGCGCTTAGGCACTAAACTAATTTGCATTATGGGGTGAAAGATAGTGTAATTGCTTTGGTATACCCAGGGCGTACCGACAATACCTCTTACTATTCTCGACAAGTGACGGATGCTCTGCTGTCAGGAAGTGCATGCAGAAAGATAAGAGGTTGGATCCGCTAATGGCGCGGCTGTGTCGAGCGCCGGTGACGGGAGCGGGTTGGAGGCTATTCAACTTCACACCCTTTATGACGCATGCATTCATGCTTGACTGCTGAATAAAAGAATTCTGCCTAGCTGCCTGTTGCATGAGTGGTTATTGGGTAACAATCACTTGGCGGCGATGGAAAGCTCTCCGTTCGGGGGGGCCGGTTTTCAGAGGCTTCCAAAGCCATGGCCACTTAAACCGTATGGTATCACCCAAATCCACCTGGAATTATCGGTCTTGCCGCATTGCAAGGCACTTCATGATATTGTCAGAAGCACCAGCGGCAGCAGGTAACCATGTATCAAGAACTCTGCAAACCTCCGATGGCTTTTACCGCAGAGACTTTCCGATAGAGTTCCCGTCAAACACACAATACGGCCACTCCCTGAGATGAACTCACCACAACCAGAGAAGAAGGGGGGGGTTCTCTCATCCAGCCGAGTTGTGGCCCCAATGGTGCTGGGCGCGTCTAGTGAGCCTAGCCTCCTTTTGCTACGGCGAATAACAGACTGCTAGTCCCAGTCGGATGAGCTTTCTAGGCAAATTATGTTCTTTACTCGCCTTGGCAAGATATTCTTAAAGGTAGAACTGGTAAGGGGGCAGATAGCACAAGGGTCGAAATTACGCTGGAGTCTTTTCTAGGT